ATCGAAAAATAGTGATGAGTCTGCCAACTTTCGTGAGAGAGTTTGCGTTCCAAGTTTCTCATTTTTTTTTGCTCTTTCCCTTAAATAAAGCTTCGAAGCAGATTTTTATTAGATCCAGTACCTTGATTATTTTGCAAAAACATCCAAGCAATGAGTAACGTCGAGCACTTGTTTTATACAGTAACTTTATTTTGATTTTTTTTTGTAAATTTTTTGGACGAAGAGTTTTCGTTCGCGGAAAATACGCGCGCGATCCTTCGGGCCACTTCCGGTGCGGGTCGAGGCTTGTATTCCTATCGGCAGGTACAAGGATACTGACTCTTCCAGTGAAAGCTCCGGCCACAGATTCGACAGACGCAAGCGCGAGCTTTCGTCTGGTACTGGAGAGCTGTCGTTGCAGCTCTTTGACCTGTTTAGTTTGACACCTTTTTGACTTTGCTGCGAGTCCTCCGCGCTACCTCACTTCTTTTTTTTTTGGTTATTCTACTCCTAAAAAAAACATAGAATATCATGTAGTTAAAATCATCATAAAACAATGAAAAAATAACACAATTACATAATAATATAATAACAATTTTTTTCTTGAAACGACCCTAATTCACAATCAAAATAAGATTATCTCACTTCACCCTTTTTGATTAATCTTGCCCAGTAAATATGAAATATCATATAGTAAAAATCACAACCAAACTATAAGAAAACTAAATAATTACATAATCAAAATATAAATTATTATTAACACTACACCAATTCACAATATTTTCATATTTAGATTACTTCATCTCTTTATATGATTCTGCTTCAATAAACATGGTTAAAATCGCCCAACAGTAAGAATCAAACAATTACATAATCGTATAATCAAAATAAAATAATCCTTAAATTTGGATACTAAATTCATAAGTTTTTTTTTTGTTAATTCTGCAGAAAAACCATATAAAGGCATGCTTAATTAATAATCTCGCAATTGACATATTTATATTTGTTTTGTTAATTTTGTCCAAATTACAAAATTACATAATCTGTATAATCAAAAGCAAATTATTCTTAATAATACCACAATTCGCAATGTATTTATGTTACAATTTATATAATACAGTTAGTAAAACACAGTCAAAGCAGTGAAAGTAGAGGGCAAATTACTTTCCACTTAGCGTTTCTTATTTTTATTATATAACCGACTGCGGATAGCTTCAGGCCTGTCTCAAGTAGAGTTGGTCTTGGCTGTAAGGAGTCTCAAAAGGCGCTGCTTTTATTTAAGGAAAATAAACCAAGACCTCTCAACAAAATGCTTTTACTCTTGTATAATATAAGAGAAAGCACATTATATAAATTTGAAATAAGTTAATAATAAATTTCAAAATATTTTAAAAACAAAATTGTTGAGCAGATCAATTTGTTTTTTTTTATTTTCTTGTTATATTATGTAATTTTTTTTTGAGTATATATTTGTTACAATAAATGTTATTATTGTTAATAAATGTTTTGAAAAATATAATTATTGTCAGATTTGTATTTTTCTTAATTCATTGAATTGATTATATTTGGTTTTAATTTATAATATAGAAAATGTCTATAAAGAATAAAATTAAATCAAAATTACTTTCAATTGTTATATTAAGTCATCAAGTAGAAACATCCGATTTCGAAGTGAAGATTTAGTATATTATGTATGAACAAGAAGTGGTATAATTAACAAAAGTATGTGCTTAAAGTATAAAATTATTTTTTTGTGAAATGTTGGTTTAATTCATGCATAACTCCAGTTTCTTCTAATGGTTTAATATTTTTCGAATAGTAGCGTCAAACCTTACTGATAATTCATGCGTAGTTTGAGGTGTTAGTATTTCCACTGCAGCTTTCACCTCATCATTATCTACCTTGTGGTCAGGTCGAAACATGTTTCATTGTGAAGATCAAAATCATCAGATCAAAACATCTCAAACCATCGACGTACTATGCGTTCATTAGTCACATCTTTTCCAAACGTTTTGTTAGGACTTCGAGATCCATCATGGAACTCATATTCCAATATTATATGATTTTTTTTTAGTTATCTTTAGTTTACAAAATTGAATCTTCAAAAGGCAATTTTACAAATAATCGCAAACCAAGACGTGTATCTGAAAAGCTACTACTTTGATAATCATACATTATTGACCATATTTATTATATACGCAAATTCAAGTTGAATTGGACTTACTATAAGGAATCTCAAAAGGTCATTCATTTGTGTGATTATTGCAACAAATATTATTGAAATTAATATAATAATATTAATTAATAAACAAAAAATGTTCACTATTTTAACTATTATATGAAATTAAAGATATTTGTGGTATTTATGAATTGTTTTGAAAATAAAAGTATGAATTTACTACTATTATGTGAACATTGATTTTATATCTAAAATTATTATACTTCTAATACTTAATTTATTTAAATATAAAAATAATCTAATTTTAAAACTTTAACACTAAAGTGATTTATCTCAATAATATTTATGGCAACGTTCATACACTAGTAAATAAAAAAATAATAAAGAAATCACAATGAAACAAAAATAATAATAATTGAAACATTTTTTTTTAACACTTGGAAAATTACTAGACTTTTTACCATATTTTAATTATTTTCGATGATAAATTGAATTTGTGATACCAAACTTTTCATGATAATTTGATTGAAATATTTATAACGTATATCAATTGATTGTTGTAGAAATGTGGAATAAACAAAAATCTAGAAACAGAGAAAAACTGTGAGTTGGATTTCCGCGTACGTAACTCCGTATTTATTTGGTCGGTTGTTATATAAATCCAGAGGCAACTTTCTACAGATGATTTATATGAGGTCACCTGTATTACTGGTCGAGCTTACCCAGGCTATGTACGGGAAATGAAACTAAACTTTCAATTCATACCCAGAGAACATAAATTATTTACGAACGCCGACGGTGGATGAAAAATAAAATGAAGAAAAACCTGCGCAGGGATAGTTTCGGCGCCTGCACCTCCATCATTTACAACTTATAAATGTTTGAATGTGAAAACCGGCAACGTTTTAGAGTTCAAACATATATACCAAAGAGGAAGGTTTCGTGTTCTTCCGGATTTATCACTTCGCACTCATCTTGCCCGTCCATGGAAATGCAAATAAATAGCTGCAAACTGGGCGATACTCGCAAATCCGATGAAATTTACTACTTGTAATATTTGCGGTTTTGTACTAATTGTCGCTACGTATTATATATCTGTGTTAAACCATCATTGCGACGGCATTTAATTACACTTGCCTTTGGGTTTTCGAAGGGCCAGAATAGCCTGCTCGACAACCGGCTTATGATTTCAGCCCTCTCGCTTCACTTTAAATTGCAAATTAACTAAATGCACGTCATCCAAATCATGCTCTACAAATTGCCGTGTCCCATCGCTTCATAAATAATTCAAAAAAATGTCATTGCATGTTTATAAAATACAAGAAAAAAACATATAATTTATACAGATTGTAAAAATATTTTGATTACAATTAATTGCAACGTCCCTAGACAAAAGAGTTAGAGCACAAAAAAATATAGAATTTAAACAGATTGTAAAAGTTACTATTGAAATTAAGAAAACTTATTAACTTATTGTTAATTTTATATAGAATTTATTCATTAAGTATATGACATAATAAATTCTAGAAAAAAAAACTTGAGTATAAACAACTATTTTATATGTGTATATGAGTTAGAGCACAAAAAAATATAGAATTTAAACAGATTGTAAAAGTTACTATTGAAATTTCGGTAGTTGCAAATTTTTTTATTTACTCTACAAAGAGAAAACTGAAAGAATATCTTTGATTTTATCTGACCAAAATACTTGTTGCAACAGTTATACATAAATAAAGAAGAAAACTTGACAGGAAGATACTTGTTTTATTATTGTTGCATGAAAATGTTTATTTTTTTTCTTAATATTGTTGTTACAATAAAAAATGATTATTATTGATTTAAATATATGCGGGAAATAGATTATATATGTATAAGAAACATACAATAAAAAAAACAATTAATCTGGATTATAAACGTCACTATTGATATTAATGTATTTTTTTGTAATTAATGAACAAGTTTGGACAAGCTTGTTCATCAATTAAAAAACACAATTTATACAGATTTTAAAAGTGAATATTTATCAATAGACAGTGAAGACATTTATCAATATAGTTTTTGTAGTAAACTGGTAAAAATTTGTAACAATTGTTAGTTTGTTTTTTTATCGGCTGAAAATTGGTTTAACGTTAATTATTACGGTTTCCATTGCAAAAACTACCTACAATTACAGATAAATTAATTCCCACGATAAAAGAAAATGGCCTATTGGTATTAGAACCATGTCAATCAAAATCCAGCAAGATAATGCTAAACTTCATTGCAGTGTTGATGATGAGGAAGTTATTCGCTCTGGTACTGAAATGGGAGTAACATAAGAATTATTTGTCAACTACCAAAAACCTCAATTTGAATTTCTTTAACACCAATCTTTACAACGGAAAGAGTCCCCGTCCAGTATTGATGAACTCATTTTTGCCGTGTATAAAGCATGGGATGAAATAACCGCGGAAAAACTAGTGTGTGGAATTTACCATGTTTCATAAAGGAGGCAACGATTGCAAGCTTCCTCACATAAGCAAGGACAAACTGCGTTTGCAGGGAATATTGTTAGCAGGAACTTTATCGTCTAAAGTTACTAATATGTTAAATGTTACTCATGAGTTTTAATTTTCAAATATTATATGTTATAGTTTAGTTAAGAAAATTCACTTTGAATATTTTTTTATGAAATTGGACACTTATTTTGGAACGGAAGGAGTAATTTTATGCTTTAATATTTAACAAACGGGTCATTTTGACCCATATATATATATATTATTAATTGGTCAGTAGTAGTTCCGAGTTAAATCAATTTAATAACACTTATTAACAAAGTTATTAATTAAAATTAATTATTTTGTTAATTAATTTACTCATTATTTTACAATGTAGTAAATTGATAAAGTAATGAAATATTTATCCGAATTATTTGGATTGTTTTAGCAAATTTACCGTTACAAATGTTTATTTTCGTGTTATCGCCGCGCAATTTGAGCAAATAAATGTCGACTCATTTCATTCATGCGAACGAAACAGCTAACGAAAGAAATAGGCAAGAAGTAAGAAGGATTATGTGTGTGCTTTGTAGATATTTGTCATAACATCACGCATAAAGAGATATAATAAAAGCTGCGCCCTCGATTCCCCCGTCGCGTAGGACC